GACGTTTAAATCTTCTCAGTGTGATAGATGTGCTTGCTTTGATCCGCTTAGCTCTTGGAAGTCCACGAGCTCCGGGCTGCTTGCCCCGTGCTGTCCGGTGTTCTTAGGGACAGCTCTGTCCGCCATTAGGGATTTTTTCCCAAAAACCCCCTGTAACATTTCACGAACCCCAGTTTGGGAACCACTGGACTAGATGATCAGAAGGAAGCATTCTGGCCCTAAGAGGTATGACTGTCACTTTTGTGCTTTCCTAGAGAGCCATTTTATTGTCTCTAATAAAATAGAAGACACAATGGGTATGTATCCTGGCAGGTGCTTGAGTTGCTTTCTTACTCTCTGATGCAATTAGTTGGCTCCTGGAAGGTAGATCTTGTACCCACTACATTTTACAAAGGAACCAAATTAAAAATGCCCCGTGGCTGATGGAGTTGTGAAGATATTGCAGGTCTGGGCAGGCGGTGAGGTGTAGTTAATTTCAACCACCCAGAATAGAAATCCATGGGAAGGATTTACTGAAATCGTCAGACTGTAAATTAAAAGTCTCGCTAGGTGCAATAGCTGCTTTTAACATTTGACCTGGCTAATACAAGTGCACGAATGGTAAAGAAATAGGTTAAATGTTTCCTAAGGAAAAACCACAGGGAACAGCAGCGCTCAGCATGGCTCTTTAAATTAATTTTCAGTTATTGATTTACGTGAATTGATAAGGGAGTAGCTGAGATAGGATTCAAAGAGTAAAATGTATGAGCATTTTTTAATAACTTGGAGAGGGGGAAACCAGACTGATTAACTATATCAACATTCTCCCAGGTCTTTAAAAGGCAGAGATTGTCCGAGTGTTACAGGCAGGCTTCTAAAGAATGGGGTCTGAAATTCACCTTATGCCTTTATTTGTTGATCATTTTGATGGAGATCGAGGTTTATTTTGAAGTGTTCTAGTTTTTTTTGTTGATTTAAAATTTTCACAGTTGGGCAAAATAGTGGGTGTTAAGCCTCTGTTCCCTGATTTGTATTGATTTTACCATTGAATGAAATTATGGGGGGGGGCAGGTCAGACAATAATTATTGCAGTGGGTGAGGTTCAAAAAGCAAATGCTTTATAAATATTAAAACACAAATTGACAATGTCACCCGTCACAATAGACAAAGTAAAGAGCCTTAAATCAAACCCTGATAATTTCTCAAGCAGCATTTTTCAGACGTTGCCTATCTGTACATTTTGATTATTAGCGGTGGAAATATTTTTTCATTGATTTCACCATGCACATGCACGCAGAAACCAATGTGTGTGGGCACTGACTGATAAAAATCCAATCTTTCCAAGCCTATGTACAGATCAGCTACTCAACCTCTAGGGAAGAAAGTGTAACCCAGGCCTCCTTGGGTGTGGCACTCTATCCCCCTCTAATGGCACCTAGACCAGGTAGCGATTGATGAGCCTGCAACAGCCTTGGCTAAGAGAGAGGTGTGTCTTAGCTCCTGCAGTAAGCGCCAGAGGTCCCAGGTTTGATCCTGGCCGCCAACATCTGTTGGCGTTACAAAAGCATAGCTGTACTAAGGCTGTTTCAAAGAGGTGGGAGGGACAAGTGGCCCCGCCTGCTGCCCCAGTCACCGCCCCCGCAGCTCCCACTGGCTGCAGTTCCCCATTCCCGGCCAATGGGAGTTGCAGGCAGGAGCAGCGCAGAGATCCCCTCCCCTCCCCTTTCTTTCCCCCCGCCCCGCCAGGGGCTGCGCCGCCGTTGGGGTGTGCTGGCCACTTCCAGGACTCAGCACGCAGGGCCGGGGCTGGCAGGGAGCCTGCCTTAGCCCCGCTGTGCTACTGGACTTTTAGCAGCCAGAGATCGGGATCGACGGTCAGAGGTTCCAGGATCGACCAGTCGATCTTGATCCACCGGTTGGTGACCACTGCGCTATAGTATCTTGCAGCATTGTAAAGCATGGTACAGTCCGGGGTAACACTATAGAATCCTATAGTCGTGTAGGGTATAATGGTATAATAATGTCTCAGCTCTCTTCCCAGACTCCCCTGGGGTAATGCAGGTGACTACCCTAGCATGACTGGCTAGCACGTACAATTAACCAAGCTTGCCATCTCACTTACATGCAGCACTGGGAGAGCGGCGCCAGGATGGAGGTTTCATCATGGGAATGTCTTCCAAAGCTAGGGGACAAACGAAGGCAAGGGTGAACCGCTGCTACCACCAACGCCCCAGGCACGAAGCTGTGATTAGAGGGTCCGATCCTATCTGAGAAGTGTTCAGAGGAGGCACTCAACACTGGGGCTGGATCAGACCCTTGCTCCTTGGTTCACATAACAGAATGAAACAAAACTGGCCATGGGGCATGCTGGAAAGGCTGAGATACCAGGACCTGCAGGAGCTGGGCTGTTACAGGTTAGAGCGTGCTGGGCAGGGGCAGGCCGTATCCCCATTGTGCGTGCCTGGGCAGTACGCCCTTCATTTTCCTGGCCAACAAATTCTTCTCCCAAAGTAAATGTAGATACACATTCCAGGATGTCAGGGCAGAGATCAAGTCACTCATAGGCAGTGCTACCTGAGGCCTGGCCCCTCCCATGGTCCCAGCATCATCTGCCCTTTTGAACCACTGGACCATCTGCCCACCCCCCAGCTTCATTGGGCCCCACTTATGTCCCCCCAGCACAATCTGACCCCCAGCACTGTCTGCCTACTCTCAGGCCCCCTGGCACTCAGCCCCCCTTTGTGTCTCCATCTCACATTCCAGTGCCCCAAAAGTCATTGCTGGGGCGTGGGCCTTACCCTCTGGCATTGTCCAGATGAATGAGGAAGCCTTCATCCCCGAACTTAGTGAACATTTCATAGTGATGACGGTCCATGTTCCCTTTGGAGAGAGAGCGAAAGAGAACCTATTGCTCTTGCCATGCACTGAGCAGTGACTGAGTACCCCTTTGAACTGGCCAGGGGGAAAACTCTGCCGCTATGTCATTCTTCAGGCCTGCACTGAGCAAGAGTTACCTGGCTAGGGCTGGGATATTTGTGCAACACCAGTTGTGAGTCAGGAGGCCTGGAGTTACCTGACAGTAGTAATAGTCTGCTCTCCCCTAGTACTCCCAATCCCAGGATCTCATCTCAAAGTGCGTTACCAGCAGTAATGAAATTACCTCCCTGCTGGCTAGTGAGGTGCTTATATGACCCTCATCACCACAGAGTCTCAGAATCTATGAGAGATTAACTCCATTTTACAGATGGGAAAACTGAGGCACAGAGTGAGGTGAAATGAGTCACCTAAGGGAATGAACCCCAGAACTGCTAACTCCAGGGTTTGTGTTTTCGCTAGGTCAGGCTCCCTTTCCTGGATCTTCCTCCTGTAAGGTGAGTGGAAGATGGACATCTGTCTATGCCAAGGGCGCTCAGGTATTCTAGTGAGGAGGGCATAGAAATTCCTAGATGAAAGGATAGTGGCGCCTCTTATAAACTTCTACGTCAGTTGACCTCAACCTGGCAGCCAGGGTCTGATTAGTGAGACAAGACCACAAGGGGGAAGACTGCAGAGGGAGGGCGGATCCTGTACTGCAAACACGAAAGCTTACCCTCCTTTGCTTGGCCCCCATCCCCGAGCTCCTGTCGCTGCCCTAGCACAACTCACACGGGTCAGGCTGCAGCGACCTTCTCGTGCTTCTGTGCTCTCTGGCCCCACTGCGAATCAACTGCCACCCGCTGAGCAGGGGAGGGGACGCCACCAAACAGGAGAGCGACAAAATTAAGCAAGAGAAATACCCAGGGGACACTGATGGGTAGGAAAGAGAGCCAGGGAGGGGAGCTGATAAAGCAGAGATGAGCTGAGGAGACATGTACCCACCGAGGCTATTGCAAAGGCAGG